GTATAAATGCCACATTTTTTTTATCCATTCATCTATTGAGGGGCATCTGGGTTGGTTCCACAGTCTAGCTATTGTGAATTGTGCTGCTATGAACATCGATGTGGCAGTATCCCTGTAGTACGCTCTTTTAAGGTCTTCAGGGAGTAGTCCGAGAAGGGCAATAGCTGGGTCAAATGGTGGTTCCATTCCCAACTTTCCCAGAGGAATCTCCATACTGCTTTCCATATTGGCTGCACCAATGAATTTCTTAATTTCTAGGAGAATATTAGGTGGGGATATAATCTGCCAAAGTGACTATTAGTTTTTTGAATAAACAGTAAAATCATGTTTAGTTTACTCGTATTAAAGGTTCCAAAATTTATTTTCTGTATATAGGCTGTAGGAAATCTCTGCACTCTGCACTTGTTCATAATACAAAAACAAACCATCATCCTCTTTTCCATTCACAGACATAGGTATGAATATATTCATTCTTTCAGATAGGTTTTGGCAAACAAAGCAACCACTTTTGTGGAAATGGGAAGACAGTAGAGATAGAAATACATCTTTGTTCATGAGTTTTTTTCCTCTCAGTTGCATTTCCTTCTGTTGTCCCTACCAGATGCTCCTCATGCCTGGGACCATTGGTGGTGGTACCTATCCTTTTTGTCCTGAGGACACTGCTTCCAAATGCTTTCTCTAAAATCACTTTCAGTTTCTGGTGCCATTTCCTTCCCTTCTTTCCTCCACTACAGTTTAGAACAAGTGGGCTACTTTAATTCTTTGTTTATTTGAGATCTATATTTTTTCAAGATCTTTTCATGAGGCTAGAATTCTTTTACTCCCACTATCCTACCTACCAGCACTTTTCCCTAGTTCTTTGAAAAAAGTAATTTTAAAAAATCATTATTGTTTTATTAAAAACAAAACATTATATGTTCGTAGTGTAAAAAACTAAGTTTTTAATATGTAGGGCTGAATTAACACTTCAGTGTCTTTAATAGAAGAATAGCAATGTTGTTAGCCTGAGAATCTTCATAAACCTCAGCTCCAGTATTGATTCTTGATGCACTAGCTGAGTGATACTGACTCTTGTGTCCTTATCAAGCCTGTTTCAAGAAGCGCCTCCACCATAGCTCTAAAATAATATCTGATCCATGGACTTTAGATTAAATGTAGTGATAGAGAGGGAAGCTCCAGCCCTGTGTCTGATAGCAAAGGTTTCATTCAGCGTTAGTTTCCTCTGTCTCCCAATAACTTTCAAGCACAGGAAACTTTCCCCAGATGATACTGCACTAGGGCCTTGGCTTACTACTCTTTTGAGGTACCTGTGAACTATGATTACTATGTTCATATGAAGAATTTTGGCATTTTAGAATTTCCAGAATGTCAAAAGATAGGATGCAGTTTTTTGAGCTGATAGGTTTTGCTGGGTGGATATAAACAAGAAGTTAGAGAAGGACTGTTTTTTGTTTTGTTTTGTTTTTTGTTGTTTGTTTGTTTGGRTTTGTTTTGTTTTGGTTTGGTTTTTTTAGTTATAGATAGATATAATATATTTTATTTTTATGGTGTGCTGAGGACACACCATAAAACTCAGTGCCTCACACATGTGAGGTGAGTGCTTTACCACTAAGCTACAACCCCATCCCCTAGAACTATTTTTTTAAAGAGAAGGAATTTAAGACAGAAAAGGGCTTAAAGGGGAAATGTATGTCAGGTATACCTAATTGTAGAAAACAGGAAGAAATGGATACTTTTGTATACTTTGACATTTGAGAAACCCCAAAAGACTTCCATTTGGGACTATTAGATTGAGTACATTAAAAATATATTTTACACCCAAATGAAAATGAGACCATCCATATAGGTGATTCATAGATTCAATTATGATTCTTTTCTCTCCTTTTCAGTTTCTGTTTGCCATATTTCATCTATACTTTCACTGTATGTCTTGCAATTTGATGTGTTCATCCTACATAGGAAACACTAATATTGATATGAAGAAGCCAATACCCTGGGAAAAGGCTAATGGATTACTGATTTGATTTTGCAGTTAAATATAATAATTGTCCATTTTGAAGAACATTGAAACATCTCTTAGTTTAAGTAAAAACAAAACATGAATTAGTAAAACTTTGGTGGAATCTAGTGCCTCTTGATAGTGTTAGTTTGTACATATTCTATAGAGATTAAGAAGAATGAATAAGAAATCTAGGCATGGCTACGTAAGATTGACAAGTGCTTTGCTGTTTTTAACACTTATGGAGGGGATTTATGTAAGATCAGTTTGAAGAGTTGTTCATCAGTGTTATGCCCTGATACTTTTGCTAATGGGTGGCAGTGGTTTTTCCTCCTCTTGAAAAGCCTGAGACAACCACTCCTATCTTGCTTGCAGGACAGAAGTCAGGTCAAATCCACCCCTTCAAGATGACCTTCCTTTCTTCGAGAAGCCCCCAAGCAGGCATATTTCCTTACCAAGCCTGTCTCAAGAAGCGCCTCCACCAAAGAATACAGTACTGGCCAATGAGGAAGCCCTGCAGAAGATCTGTGCACTTGAAAATGAACTTGCTACTCTCAGAGCTCAGATTGCCAAAATCGTGACCCTGCAAGAGCAACAGAATCTCACTGCAGGTCTGTAAGTCCTACATTTGTTTGTTTTACCTGGCAAATTGGAAATTTTGAATGCCACTAAATTTATGATTAGTAAGTAACAACTCTTGATGTTGTTTGAAAATCAAGTGTCAGTCCCCTGCCTTGCTTATTGCAGAACCAGGTTAAGTTTAGGTAGTTTTTTTGTGTGTGTTTTGAACAATCTTGATGCTATCAGGGAGGATGATTAGGAAACCTATTTGGAAAACATTGAAATCCACGCAGTTGAATTACTACTGTTTGAATCCTTCCCTTAGGGGAAACTTAGCTGTCTGTAATAGTAACACCACCTCTGTTGGACATGAGGTCATTCTGTGGATTTCTGTCCAGTGAAAGGAGCCTGGGTTTCTCTGCAGGACCTGGGTAGTCTAGGACTACTTTCACCTCCCTTTCATGCTTTAACATCAGCATARTAGTACCTATATTATTGAGTTACTGTTCAAGCAAATACAGAAAAGATATGAAATGTCTTCACCACATAGCAGCTACAAAGAATGGAATCTGACCTTGGGTCTTCTAACTCCTTGTCTAATACTGTTGGTTTAATTAGTGTGATGTTACTGCTTCTTTGGGGAAGAAACCATAGCCTTGAAATCCTAGCCTACTAACCTGTTGGCATATAGTGGTGGTTTTTCCCATGGCTGTTCCCAAGTCATGATCCAGGATTAATCAGCTCTGTTGAAAGAATAGGATAGTCAGATATCTTGCCTCTGAGCCTCTGTGCTTGTGCCATCTTGGAAATCTCATCCAACCTGGACATGATAGCATGAAGGAGCTCTGGGCACCAAGTGCTGGAGGGATAATGGGTGTTCCTTCAGTAAATTTTGCATAAGCATGTAACTTTTTAAAATCCTAAAGTTCTGCCTTTTAATTCTGTTAATTTTAAATTGTTTTCTTTTGCTTTACCTCCCTCTTCTGGCAAACTAGGAAAACTACTGTAAATTGTAGATAATTTTAGAGTTTAGATGTTCTACTTATAATCTGAATCTTTTGAGTAATTCTTTCCATCAGTGCTATTTCCTCAACCAGTAAACAACTCTCTATGTTCCAATTATGCAGATGAATTTTAAGTCCTTATTTTATAACTCTATAGTTCTTATTTTGAAATTTAAATATGACACTTTTTTTTTTCTTCTGCTTGTTCAACAGTAATTTGTTCAACAGTAATTCTAAAACATTTTTTCTGTACCTATTCTAGTCAATGCCATTTTTTGGTTTGTTTTTTGTTTTGTTTTTCTGGTACTGGGGATTGAACCCAGGGGTGCTTACCCACTGAGCCACATCCCCAGCCCTTTTTATTATTTTTATATTTTGAGACAGGGTCTACCTAAGTTGGTCAGGACCTCGCTAAGTTGCTAAGGCTGGCTTTGAACTTGCAATCCTTCTGCCTCAGCCTCCTAAGACACTAGGATTACAGTTATGCACCACTGAGCCCAGCCATAATGCAAGCTTTTAGCTCTAAGTATCTTATATGAAAGTATACTTTAAATGAACCACAAATTTATCAAAGTGTTTTCCAATAGTTATAATAGTACTAAATTACCAAACTGTACATATTAAAAATAGAGGTGATTATGTGATACAGACTGCATTATATTTCTACTAAAAGTGATTATACATTGTGCTACAAACTTGAGCATTTTGATGTCACAGAAACATCCGTTAAGTTAAATGGAACTTTTCCATCTGGAGAGTTTGAATTGAATGAAATAGTAGATCAGATTCAGGCATTTCTCAGGAAGTAACTGAAACTGCTTTTCTCCTTACACACTGAGATTCTTTTTAAAGATATTGTTTGTAGGAATACAAAAGTCCCTAACATACATTTGCTTTTAAAAACTATTATTTTCTTTATTACCAGCAGGATTAAGTTGTGTGGGTGTGTATGTGCATATTTTCCTCTTATTTCTTCAGTAGGTGACTTGGTTTCTGCCACATCTGTTTCCACAGCCCCACCTCCTCCCTCCACACCACCACCGCCACCACCACCACCACCACCGTTGCCTCCTCCTCCACCACCTCCACCAGGGCTCCACCAAAGTAAATCTGCTATTGATCTGATTAAAGAACGAAGAGAGCAAAAAGCCAATGCTGGAAAGACTTTGGCTAAAAACAATCCAAAGAAATCTGACATGCCAAATATGCTAGAGATCCTTAAAGATATGAATAGTGTAAAACTTCGGTCAGTTAAGAGGTGAGAATACATGTACTTTTTTATTGATTTCCCATTTGTTAATATCATGTAAAACCAACACCACACTTCTTGAGGAATTTTGTTTGACTACCATGGATAGTTTTTAGTTAAAAAAAAAAAAAATGGGTCCCAGTGACTCCTCCTATACCAGTAGCAAAATCAACTAATATTTCCAGGTGATTTTTTTAGTTTTCCCATTTAATATCWCCCTTTTGTGTACTGTGTCTATTGTGACTATGTAGTCATTCATTCAGAAAAGGTGTGTTGGGCTGGGGGTAGAGTTCAGTTGGTAGAGTTCTTGCCTTGCATGCACACAGCCCCTGGGTTCAATCCCCAGTACCAAAAAAAAAAAAAAAAAGGATGTGTTATGTTCTTATACAGGTGGTTACTGTATACACATGGAAGATGGAACCCTAGTTTCTGAAGGAGAACACAGTATTCTGAAGATACCGAGTGACTCTTTATGGGACTCTCATGTACTTTTGTTCAGCCTTAATCTAGGTTTCCATATCACTGCTAGCAAAGTTTGTCAGTGCCATTATGGAGTAACTGTGATGCTAGAGAAGAACTATTGGTCAGGCCAGGGCTGACACAGTACTTCCCGGAGGAATGACAGTGTATGAGCCTGTCCCCTTGGTTTCTGTTCACTTCTCTAAGGTCAGAGCAAGATGTAAAGCCCAAGCCAGTAGATACTACTGATCCAGCTGCCCTCATAGCAGAAGCTCTGAAAAAGAAATTTGCTTATCGATATCGAAGCAATAGCCAAGGAGAAATTGAAAAAGGAGTTCCAAAGTCTGAATCAGAGGCCACCTCAGAGAAAGCGTTGGTGAGTATTAGCCCATGTTCTTTCTTATTATGTGGCAGTTCACACCATGACTGAGTCCCTGCCATTGCCAATCATTCATCTGAGTCCTCTGCAAGATTCAATAGAATGTGACACAAGATTCTGTCCTTATCTACAAATAGATTGAAAGTAATTGGAAAAATGGTAATATATTTGTTTAGCATTTATATTTTTAAATTTTTTTACTATAAAAATGATAGTTGTTTATTTCGAAATATAAAACTTGTATAAGAGCATAAAGAAGAAAGCAAAAGTTAATCCTATATCTTATGCTTAGCTATCTCTAATGTTAAATTTCCCATACAGGGTTATATTTTTAAGCATAATGAAGTGAAATTCACTGTAATAAAATTTTTATGTTAGGGCAGTGCACATGTTGTGATACAGAAACTCAAAGCCAGATCATTTTTCTTAGTGAACCCTGTCACGTCTTTTGAATAGGGTGATACCTGAGGTGTGGACCCAGTTGTATATGGGTGCTGTATAATAGGTGGAGATGGAGCAGGTTTCATAGAAGCTCTTCAGTATTAATTTCTACATTCCCTTTATTTGTAATTGTCATGGGAATAAGTACTCATTATTCCAGAGAGGTAGATATCAAATTATGGTATCCTTAAAACTCTTGTCGTTTAGACATTGCAAGGGAAAATTTGGGCTTGTTATTTTACTCAGAAGTAAACTTGCACTGAAGTAGGGTGTTGCTAATTATAGTTTTCCTTTCTAGAAAGAAATTTGGCTGATTGATTCTTTCATCCTGTTGCTGTGTCCTGTGTTTATAACAATGTTTAATTCATAAACGTTTTAACATTACTAGTATCTGCTTGGTTTTTCATGCAGAACATACCCAGCCCTGTGATCCATGATGGGGGTGGGATATATTATTACTGTTATAAGAACTGATATCTATCTTTATTCTTTTTCTTTCTTTTCCAGTTTGGGCCTCATATGTTGAAGTCTACAGGAAAAATGAAGGCTTTAATTGAAAATGTTTCAAACTCCTAATGGTCAATGAGCTGAAAAAAACTCCTGGTTCAGCTGGTTTGGGAGGGCTGAATTTGGCTAGTAGAAATCAACACTATTTAGTAAATACCTGGCTTTAGTATTCGGTGGTGTACTTTTTAACCTAGAGGATTAAGCAATAATGGAAGCACCATAACTTTGTTTTGCTTTTATGAGATGGTCAGTTCTGGAGCCTCCTATAACATACTGAATTCTGACATGTTTTTCACATTTAGCCAGGATGTTGAAGCCTCCAATCTTGAAAACATTTGAAAGATTTCAGAACATAGAAAGGACATTTGTGGATTTTACTGTGCATTTTAAAATTCTTAACACTAATTTATCTGTACAAATGTTTTATATACATATATTTGGATATAAAACAGTTTAAGAATTATCAGTGAATGACAATGAGGGTATTATTATCTTCATTTGTTTTCAGTGAGCATTTACTATTCAGTATGGGTCAGCTGGTATAATGTAAGTTGTTGGAATAAAATATTTGAGATTAGAATCTTCTTGCCTCTAATAGAACTTTTATCTTAGATTCTCTCTCACATTTTTGGAGTGGAGCTTTGAATAAGAACCAGTTGATGTTCACTGCTGCAATTCCATATGCTTTCCATTAGAGGGAAGTTGAGAACCAGGATGGCTGCTTGTACCTCATTGCATCCAATGCTGAGGAAACAAATGTACTTTTCAAGTGGTGACAGATTAAATTATTGAATTAAATCACTTAAATATAAACCAGATATGCCATCTTTCTTTATTTTCAGTTTAATAAATGGCACCATAAAAAATGACTCATTGCTAAGTTGATAATACTTCTGGAAATGTCAGCATAATGGAGTTTAAAATTTTTTAATATTGGTCAAAATATTTATAATGAAACATTATYAAGTAGGACTATGACTTTCCTATATATTATTTATCATTGGTCAGAATGCTGTTCTGATGAATTAATATTATGCAATGTAATCCTTAGGTGTTATTAGAAAGTGGAGAACTGCCTTTGTCATCCAGGGCTTATAAGGACTTGCTAACAGTGGTCAATAAACTTTCATGATTTTCTATTTGTGATAAATTCAGCTAATAGTTAATGCCAGAATTTCTTACCATGAGTAAATATTTGAATTTTTTAAAATTTAAATCTAGTGAAGAAAAGTTATACTTCCTGGGAGGATTAGGAGATAAGTAGAAATACACTTTAAGTTATTAAAAATGTTTGTTGTTCTCCTAAATATTAACAAAAATTATTTGAGATAATTTACATAGTTTGGTTATTTGGCTTAGGTTTAAACTGTGGCATGCTGTTGATAGATATTGTTTCTAATTGTTTGATATGGTTTAAAAATTCTGCCTTTTAAGAAATTCAGAAAATCCACCTGACACATAATTTGGGCTCCTAAGAAATTTATATTTGCATCAGTATTGAATTTTGGCTAGTGCTCCAATGTAAGGAAGTTACTATTTTAAAATAAAGCAAACTATTATTTCCCTTGGACAACAGTGCTTACATGTTTTTCTTTCATCTTTTTTTTCTTTCATCTATAAAATAAGGTTATTTTATAATGCACATGGTGCTTCTCTGTAGTAATTGCCTTTCTACATTTTTYAAGTGGAAATATACTCCTCAAAATGAACTGTATCACTTCTCATTCACTTTTTTTTTTWWAAAAAAARGGATGTTATGGTTTAGATACAAGGTTAACCCCTAAAAGCTCATGTGTGAGAAAATGCAACGAAGTTTAGAGGTGAAATGATTGGGTTATGAGAATCTTAACAATCAGTGGACTAATCCATTGATATGGATCAACTGAGTGGTAAATGTAGGCTGGAGGAGAGAGTCACTGAGGGCATGCTGTTAGGATTTATATTTTGTGCCTGATAAGCAGAGTTTTGTTTTGTTCTCTCTCTCTGTCTCCGCTTTTTGTTTGCCATGTCCTTAGCTTCTTTTCTTCTCCACACCTTTCCACCATGATGTTCTGCATCACCTCAGGCCCAGAGCAATGGAGTCGGCCATCTGTGCAATGAGACATCTGAAACTGTGAACCCCAAATAAAGTTTTCCTCCTAAAATTGTTCTTGTCAGATCTTTGGTTGCAGCAGCAAAAAAAGCTGACTAAAATAGAAAGCTTAGCATTGACACTGGAAGGCACTCCCTGGAGGCACTCATGTTTCAAGGCTCTCAAACCCATAAACCCAGTATAGGATTAGTGAGATGTTTTCCTATCTTTTTGCCACACCCACTTTATTCAAGTTGCAATGCTCCCACCCAACATAATACCTTGAAGTCAGAACTTAATAATAGTTAAACTCTCTACATTTTATAGCTGAAGCTTACAAAGGTAAGTAACCTGGTATAATGTTTTAACTAGTCCAGTGAACCTCATTTTATAGACAAAAATTATGAGTCATCACTGGACTTGGAGCCTCATGTGATCATGGCCATATCACACCCTCTTAAAAAAAAATGGGAATTGTACTCACTAGCTCAAAAAAATTGAGGATTATGGGCTGAGGCTGGGGCTCAGTGGTAAAAGCACTTGTCTAGCATGTGTGAGGCACTTGGTTCGATCCTCAGCACCACATAAATAAAATAAAGTTATTGTGTCCATCTACAACTAAAACTGTGTACAAATATATATATAAAATGGAATAATGATTTGGGGCACATTCTATGAATAGTAAAGGGCTAAATGAGTTATTACCACCATAGATGATGATTTCTCCTAGGACTAGGGGCTGTCACCTGTAATAGGTGTTATTGTATGCATCTACTTGCACAGATTGGGATGGAAGGGGTAGGACTATAATATTCCATCTTCTTGCCATGTCAAGAATTCCTATGAGTCTTTTTGTCTCAAGAGTGAAGAGGAAGACATGAAGTAATAAGTTACCAGAGACAAACACTTTGGAAAAAATATTGTTCTGATAACTTCTCCAAAAATAGTTCTCTGGGAATAGAACATGGCACAAGAAATTCTTTCAGGGTTCATCCAACAGAAGCAGCTCTGAGACTGCCAGGCTGAATGACAGTCGGTTTCATAATAAGACTGTTGCAATACTGCTCACAAACGCTCATTACAAGGACCTCTTTTCTTGTTTTATAGGTTCATCCTTCTTCTGAGCGAATGTCTTGAATCTCTTAAGATTCTTCTTAGACTTCTCTTGGAAACCTTGTAAGCTAGTTCTTCCTTGACCTTAATACTCTTTCTTGAAGACAGGATAATAAAAATAGTGTAACCAAGCAAGCACCCAGAAATCTTGCAGAGGTCCCTCTGGGGACCTTAGTTCACTTCGTAAAGGCTAGAAGACTTAATGTTCCTACAGCTGGAACTTCTCACATTTTTCTCTTTGGCAGCTTCTCCAGCCTCTTGAAAAGGTGAGATGACTCCTGTAAGATTAGCGTAGAACATGAGTGTCATTTAGATATTCTCAAGAGAGCAGTTGTTAAGATAACCCAAATAATGCTTCCTATTCCATACCAAATGCATGTCACATAGACATCCTTCTTTCTTCACAACTGGAAAAGCCTTAATTTGGAAAGAAATCAAGGGTTTTTTACCAAAGGCACAAGGAACCACTATCATTGTTGCCTAATGGCCATCCCTCCTCATTGGTCAGACATGCTTTTTATCAAGAGATGAAAGAAGATGAAACCAGAAACAGTTTCTGGTATCATCTTAAAGGTGAAAAGCATGAGAACTTGTTTTGTCAGAAAGTCATTTTCAAATACTGGTGTTAGCAAGTGGGGTAGAGTAGCACAGGGGAGCTAATGGGGGAGGGATTCAAATTGATGGTCCTTGTCCTTCCCCTTTTGCAGGGCAGAATACCTGATAACACATACACTGTGCCCAGGGACACAGCCTCAGTAGGTATTCTAATTAGATTCTTCCCTAGGAAGCTGAATAAGAAACCTAAGAGAGCAAGGTAGGTAGTACCAGGAGCTTAAATAAGGATACTAATGAGGTACAGCTATACCTACGAGGAATTTTATGCAACGATTTTGAGGAAATGACTTAGGAAGCATATTCATAGTAGCATTGATTCAGCACTCTCAAAGTGTCAACACATGATTTTACTTTTAAACAAGACATTTTACAGGGTAGGAAATCACTCAAAAGATATGGTAACTTACCAAAGGAATCAAACCCAAGTCTTATAAGCTACAGAAATAATGCTTTTTAAAAATCATGTTATACTGGTACCTTAAACAGAGACTGCAAAAGAGAGAGCTGGAAGAGAAACGGTAGCCAAGAGTATGGGAGAAAGCAGCTCTGTCTCAGAATGATCACATCTCAGGTTCTGTTTCCTAAGGCATGGCCTTAGGAGTGATCTCCATTATTTTCATCCACATAAATCCATGATTAGAGCTCCCAGTTCCCTCCCATTTAATCTGAGTCCCTGTGCCCTGTAATAGAAAAACCTAACCCTCATCTTGTGATGATTCTTAGGGGAAATCCCAGTAGTTTTCTAAAATAGTTCACCTAATAATTTTTATAGTGTGTGTGATGCAGGAGATTGATCATAGGGCCTTGCACATGCTAAGCAAGTGCCCTATCACTGAGACATACCCCCAAGCTCTACACCTAGGAACTTTAAGGTTAGTTATTAAGTGCACGTGTAAYATCCTCCCCTCATCCCTGTGTTGAAACCCTAACCTTTAAATAGGATGGTATTAGGAGTGGAACCTTTGGAGGTAATTAGGTCCCAGGGCAAAGATCTCATGATGCAATTGGTGGTCTTATAGAAGAGGGAGCTAGCCCTCTCTTGGCCACCTGAGGATGTAACCAGGAAGAAGGCCTTCACCAGAATCCAACCATTCTGGCACCCTGATTTTAGACTTCCATCCTTCAAAGCCATGAAAAATGAATACCAGTTGTTTTTAAGTCACCCAGTCTATGGTTCTTTTTGATAGCAACCTGAGCAAATTAAAACAAGTGCACTTCTTTATGTCATTTCCTTCAAAATTTATGTTGTGTGTGTATAAACAAATATGTAATTTTCATAAAATTCGGCTAAGGCAAAGGGGCTTGTGATATCATTTGTTTCCTGATTTTTTTTTTAGAGAATATAGCCCAATAAATGAAGAAATACAAATTTTATGTTTAAAAAAATCTTAGATGCAGAGCTTAAAGATAAATACAAGATGGAATTCTTTTAATAGAGACTGGGATCAGTGGATAGCTACAATAGACTAAGTCACTTTGCTTCAGTCTTAAATAATAGCCAGCAAGAAATYAAATGCTAAAAACAGGGTTGTTTTTCTTCCTCTGCCAACCCACCAGACTAAGATTGGTTTCAGGACAACTTAAAAGTGTCAGTATAGATTTTAAGATGTAATTGACAAAAAAGAATTTTACTAAAAGTACATTGGATATTTAAAACTGTTTTAGAACCAAATGTGGAAGCCAAATGATTCAGATATTAACAGCTATACATAGGATTTACTAGAAATGATGTCATTTTTACCATTAGTCATCCATTCTCAACACTCCAACACTTTGCTCATTTTGAATGATATAGATAAACATGATAAACACTTCATACATTATTTTGTCACCCAAACACTTCGAGAACAGAGACCATGGTTTTCAATTTTAAAACCCCTTTTATTACATTCAGTGCCATGCTCTGTACACAACAGGAACTCAGATATTGCTTACCACATGACTTCAGCACAAACAGACTAGTTTCAGTATAATTTCTCTTAGTGATATTCTGATAGGTAAAAAGGGAACATTAATTCAACATTAATTTGTTCAACAAATATTTACTGATAGTCCAATTTATACCAGCCCTATGCTAAGCAGAGGAACCAGGAAGATAGAGACCCATTATGTGCCCTTTGTCAATTCGCCCCCCACCTTTAGACCATGGACCCTTCAGGGTTTTTGAAATGACAGGTCATCTTTAGGACCTTGACAGGAAGTGGCTGCACATGTCTATTCTACTATATTTTAAATGTATGTTGATGCTGTAGGGACTAGTATGCATATTTCCTTAAAAGCAATATTAATTCATATTAGTTATTTTTGGTAATTGTGTCTTTTCTCAATCAGCAGGTATTGATAGGGAATTTAAACAAAGTTTATACATTAAAATATTTATAGATGTTTGGAGACACTGGAAACTTCTGATGTGAAAATTTTAAAGTTTTAAGAAAATAGAAAGCTTAATAAAAGCCAAGAAAGCATTTTGAAAAAAAGAGACCCTTTTTGGAATCTTGAAGGRGTTACTAGCACCTCTAACCTGTACACCAGGTACAAGGATATTTCCCGTGTTTGCAAAGGACATAAAATGTAATTGTTACTATTTATACAAAGAGGGTCATTACAAACCATCACATTTACAGTGAGTACAAATATTGATCAGGAACCAATTTTTGTCATTAAGCTGGGACTTGTCAAGATTTGCTTTCCAAGGACCTTAATCCATAAAGAATAGATTCCCTCACCAGTGAAGTATTAGGCCAAGAGCCTGAAAGGGCTGTTACATGCTTAACAATTCTTTAAAGTCTCCTATTTTATCTTAAAAATTCATGTGGACTYTACATTGTTCCATATTTGCTTATTTTTAAAAAATGTGATCTCAATATTTGTATCCTCAAAATTTTCTACAAAATTCAATGTTCAAGGAACATATGCTCCATTTAAAAAGCAGGGCTATAAAAGGTGTTTCCCACATATACATAACAAAACATGACTTTTGAATGGATTTATTACACTGATAGGAAAATGGAAGCAACACCAAGGTGTCCCCCTGAGAATGTGGAAACTGTAAGCTAATCTTTTGAGTATTAAACTATAAGACAAACAACTGATCAGAGCAGAAGTAAGCACACACAGGTAGAACGGAGCCTAGGTAAGCTCAACTGAAACAATGTTGAAGGCAATGRCATCTAATGGAGTTGCCAATCAGAAGCTAATGTGGAGAAGTAACTACTGGCAGAGAATCTCTAGCATCTTCCAGGGGAAGAGGGTACCCTGGTCCACAAACATGAATATCAGCAGGACTATCTCCATAAGGAGATGGAGGCATGAGGCAACTTGCTTCCCTTGCTCAGAATCCATGCTCACCAAGTGAACCGGCTGTTCATAATTTGGCTTCTCAAGAAGATTTGCCTAAAGGGAGAGAATGATTGATAGTTACATTTCTCATTTTGAATTAAAATATTGATAGTTTTAAAAAATATCAGTTACTGTGAGCTTGGTTAATGTGATTTTGCCATGAAATAGTTCTATTCTCCATGTGCTGACAAATGTCTGTAAGCTTCTACTCTGGACCTTTCAGACCCTGGACATACCAAATTTGCTAAGGTGATGCCACTAGTAAGAGTGGCCATTTGGCCTTCCCCTGGTAAAAATTCTGCTATCCTCAAAGGTCTGTGCTCCTGCTGTTCAATATGTTAGCCACTAGCCACATGTGGGGATTGGGCACTCAAAATGTGACTAATTTGAATTTAGATGTGCTAGTAAGTATAAAATACACACTAGATTTTTTTAAAAAAAGTGTAAAAAGATCATTGTTTTAAAAATTGACTATAGATTGAAATAAAATATTTTGGATATAATGGCTTAAAATGTTATTAATTCCATCTATTTCTTTTTTTTTCAAATGTGGCTGCTAGAAAATTGAAAATTACTGAAGTGGCTTCCATTATATTTCCACTGGACAAATCACTCTTTAATACAAATGCCAAATATGTTTGACTTTAAAGTTTGCACCATGTCCCTTATAACAAAGGAACATAGAACTGGGAAGATGTAGGAAAGGCCCAGTGGTATCATTCTTACATTAATATGAGTGGCTATTTCTTACTACCTTCCTTTAAAAAGGCCAAGAGGTAATCTTATGCAGTTCCTAACTATGGGTACAAAAGGCTGTGGAGTTAAGAGCCRGATCAAAGCTGACCTCTACCATGTTTACTAGCCAAGACTCTGAGCAAACTATGTAACCAGGCCTCAGCATGCACACTAGTAATGTGCAGATAATAGTAGATAACCCCCTAGGACAGTGCTGGCACATAGCTCTGACTGAATTAACATCTGATGAATGAACCCAAGAGCCAAACAGCTAACCCTGGCTTCCTAGTAATTTAGTATTGTGATTTCCAAAGGACTGAGTTATAAGGTAAATCTCAAAGATAAAAATGTGAAAAGATAGGTTTTTATTCATCAAAAGTTAACAGCAACAGGCACGTATTAAAATGAGTATGGCAAAGCCTTTAACAAATGGCTTTACACTCAAGCTTTCTCCCAAGAAAATGGCTGTTGCAACAAACTGTAAACATAATTAATAAACAGTCTTTTACAGTAACAAGGGAAATACAAATGAACTAAAAGAAAGCACCGGTTTCTCTTAAAACTAGATTACAGTTGTGCTTACTATACATAAAACAATTTTAAAACAAATTACAAAAGTGGAATGTTTTAAGTTTAAAATTAGTCCTTAAATTTTGTCCTAGAAAACATCTGTTCACATCAAAAGGCCCATCAAAGGGTAACGTTTCATCAAAGGGAGGGACAAGAAAACAATGCACTTTTTTCAAATCAAAACGAGAAGTTTGGTCACTTAGCTTTGTGCATAGTTTAAGGCAACTGGAGCAATCTGTTACAGCTTACCTACCTCCCCCTCCCCCAAGTGTGGCTGCTCATTATGTCACATTCTAAAATAATAAATAAAAGCTTACATTTCCAATCCTTTCCCACATGGATGAACATAACACATGCACGGTCATACATGCACAAACATGCACGCAAACACACATCCACACATTCACACACAACATACCTCTCACTCACTGCAGCGAAAGGGACTTTAGTACCCTGGATCTGAAGGACACACTTCCCCATCCCACTTTATTTCAGATTGGCAAATACCCTGAGCTGATTATGGTGTTTTAAACATTCCACCTTTTTCTTGCATGTGCAGGTCAAGTGTACAGTAGTGAAAACAACATGCAATGTCTTCACTGCAGAATCATAACACAGCTAGGACATTGGCGTTCCTCCCCTCCCACCCCAAATTAAAAACTAAGAGCTAAAAAAAAATGCATTGCCAAACAGCACTGGAGTAGAAGCTTGGCGGTACTCTATGATAAATGCACTGGAATAAATGCTCAGCTTCCAGTGCACGAAATAAAATACAGCAAACAGGAGGCTTTGGTGGCATCCAAAGTAGAAAAAAGGCAAACAGGGGGAAGAGCTGCAGTCTAAAGTTTGATCTTTAAATTTTTTTTTTTTTTTTAGTGGTTCCTTCACAATCATGCTCCAAAGCAATTTAGAACCAATATTTTCAGAGTTGATTTGTAAACACTGAGTCTTGCCAGAGGCAGCAGAGGCTGGGCACTTCACATTTCCTTTTTCTCAGAGAGAACTTAGTGGAAGGTACAGATACACAATGTTGCATCAGACTGGTTGAATTCCAAGAGATTGCTGCTGAAAGATTCAGTTCAAGTTTCATGTTTGAAGAATAAATGCTTTGAAAAATGCGTGGCACACTGAGAAACTTCTTTTTTTACTCTTTTCGGGTTCTCCTGCTGGGCTTTGCATATTCAAGGTTTCACACAAAAGCCAAAAGCATATTGCTGTATGTTCAGGTCTTATAATTAAAAAGTGGGTTCAAATGATCCAACTTAGGAAATCTTGGAAATAAATAATGCTGGCATCATTCACTTGGAAACCTTGGCAGTCAAGAGTAAGTTCTCTCACCTCAAGACCCCGTTTCACATTACTAAAAACCTCCAGGAGGCAGTCTGTCCCACTGGTTCAGGGGTTATGATAACCGGTTTTCCTGAGGTAATAACTTTGAGTTCAACTCAAATGCGGCATCGGCATCCTCGCTGCTGGACTGCTCTCTCTGCAGCCCCTTCCAGCTGGCCTTATTCAGTCCTACATGTCCAAGCATTGTCTGGGATAGCCTTGTGTCTGAAAACCTGGCCCATTCTGTAAATAACGGTTCCACTAGGTAAGTCATAAAACCTTGAAAAATAAGAGAAAACAGCTATTAACGAATGCTCGCAATTTAGAGATCTAGACGACATTAACCTTCTTAAGTCCTATTCCAATACTACCTAAATCTTTTCAAAAACTCTAAATATGTGTGTTCATGTATAACTTACACATCTTCTCTGAAGAATCTATTACTTAAAAAACTCAATGGAACTTTACCTAAAGGTAAACTGGTAAACAWTATTAAGTCTTTTCTGATTATGTCTCTCAGTTGAACAACCACATCTTAATACTTATGCAAACATGCACTGGCCACATGGACTCTGAGGATACTAGGACAACACAACTCAAAGTTTAGTTTCAGTGAGACAACTGGAGGCCAAGATGGGGTGTCTCCTCCAGGAGGTGGGTGCTGAGGCCAGAACTGGAACTGGGGAACTCACTGCTTTACCCCTCAGGGACAGAAACCTCTCCTGATAATAATTGGACAATTTGTCTAATTAACTTTAGAACTAAAACTCAGAAGAAGAATTAATCAGCTTAAAGATAACAGGGGAGATTAACTTTTAAAAATCATTGCACTGAACACCAAAAGTGCGCCAGGATCCTATTTTATAAATAACTCGTATAATTGATGGAGCTCAATTCGTAGAAAAGGAGAACAAGTCATTTCAGAATTGTTTGTATCTGTAGGTTATACAATACTCTACTGCACATCATATCTGATTTCATACTAAGTACTATCTCACTTAGTCCAAAGAAGCCTCCTAGGAAATAGTTTATCAATCAAATCAAAACATACACGTTATCTTCCTAAAATTCTGACCTGTTAATAAAGTGAGAAATAAACAGAGCACACTAGTACACAGTATTTCTGAGTCTTCACATTTAAGAGTTTTCTTGAAGTAAAATATGTGGACCACAGATGGATCTCACTGAAATTAAAGGAATTATCCCAAACTATTTTTAATTAGGAAAATCCTATATGGTCTTATGGTTGATATTTTTTTAAGTTTACATAATTATGGTAACTGAACAGTTATGATGATCTGCAATAAACTTTCTTTTATTGATACATTCCCTCCACATAATATTAACTTGAGATTCTACTGTCGGGCAGGCACTGTTCCATCCAGGGTGGCTGGGGATACAGAACACAACATCTCTACCCTCAAGGAGCTTATGTTCTGGTGAGGAGAAAGAGATAGCAGAGAAGAATGTCGTTAATACAGCCCAAGAACAGAGCAGCTTTTGGCAGCTATCCTCTAGCCACCATGTCCTGCTGAGTCAGGCCTTTACAGTTAAATCACCAACAGTTGAGGGCTTGCACCCAAATGTAGAACCTTATTAGTGTAGGTGTTACATGATTCATTTTATGTGATTCTCGCCATTGTTACAACAGGTTGAGATAAAAATACCTACGCCAGGGCTGTGGGCACAGGCATGCAGCTGCCTCTCGGAGGTACACTCTGTCAACAGGGACCCTTCAAGCACAGCTGCCTCTATCTGCACAGATTTCACCTCACTCTTACCCAGGTACTACTCAGCAAAACTAACATCAAAGAAGATTATATTTGTTACACATGACTCACACTTACAAATCCTAAGCAGGCTCCAGGTAATCACTATTAAGATTTGACATCACAAAGACCCATTTGAAGCCCTACACCTACAGCTTGTTAACTATTGGTGGGCAAACTATCTGAAAATGGCAGACTTGCAGTATTCGACTCCTAGGGTGGCTGCGAGGAGTCAGCAGATGTCCACTCTCCTCATCACATCATTTATCTTATCCCTGGTCCTCTGACAACCCATTCTAGAAGTGCCCAACACTGACCAGACCTGCACTTCGAGATGAACAATTTGAGGAGTCTGGCTTCTGCACTCTTAGAAAAATTGTGAATTTCTTAACCTCACTTGCAAGTTCTATTAACCTATTAAGACCCAAGTTTTTAATTCTGTGAGTATTTCAATGAAATTGACCCAGATGCATTAAGATAGGTTGGAGCTCATAATCTACAACTTATATATTATATTAATAATAAAAATTACATAGTCATATAATTATATACTATATTTAAGATTTTTATACATTTTTCTACATCTAGAACAATGGGAAAATGAGTTAAAATAGGGAGTCATTTCCTCAGGCAAAAAGACATTTATATAAAAGAGCTAGAGTAAGTTTACTACTCATTCACTCATCTTCAATTCCCTTTTGCCCATATTTCATCCATTGTTTTGCATTTGAAAATTATCCTACTTGACAATCAAGACAGAGCAGATCTATTTCTTAACTGTATTATCCATCTGCTAACTTCCGCACTCCAGGCCASTCTGGGCTTTCCCAGAGGTTCCGCATCCCTATGCACTCCTATAGGTCTGACCACTCTCGTCACAGCTTCTCTACCTGTCCCTCTGCAGTCAAGCCATTCACTACCCATTTTCTTCCACATGGGAATCCTTTACAATTACAACAKAATAATTACATTTTTGAATTTCTGATTCTACAGCATGATCCTCCTTTCGCAGTATTATGCCACAGAATTGTTCTACCTTCTCAATTTCTAGAAACCTTATTTTTTTTTGAAGTTCAACCTAATGCTCAAAAGGCCCTACTCAATCAATACCATCTATCAAAATTACATTCTTACCTCAAAACCTTCTTGAGCAACTTGTCTCCACCATTCCCTACTTTACAACCAAACCCCAAAACACTCAATGCCAGGCTATCATTCCTCTGCTCTTCTACAAGCCACAATGCTTTAATCACAGAATATTTCACTGTGTTCTACTACAGTTAGTAGTTCATTCAACGTACAGTTCTCCACAGCCTCCTGTGTGTGGGTACAGTGCCAGGCTTTAGGAATACTCTAGGCAAGGCAAGGTGTGAGCAATAGTGTAAGCACTTGGTGCCTGGAAGAGGACCACCTAACGCTGCCTGCAGAGTGAAAAGCACATGCTGGAGGAGGCATCATGTGAGCTGGGTCTTCAAGAAAAAGGAGTCATGGGATGCAGACAACAAAGAATGGAAGGGCACAGAGGGTGAAAGAGTCCTAACAAGAGAAAACAAGAATAAGATTTCTTAAATTATTTTAAAAACTAGAAATGAGCACAATTTCAATATAGATTGTATATTTTGAATAATTTCTCTTCTTGACAAAATTAAAATGACATTTTTTCAAACCAGCTATATTTAAATGTATATAGTTACCAATCTGGATGTTGGCAATAGATTCAGTCTGACGATCACAAAGTGGACTCACACTTAAATGATACTTTTTTTCTATATCTCCTAAAAATTAAAAAAGGAATTATTAAGATGGAACACATCTATTGGCTAAATATATAATTAAGGTCTGCATCATTCCTATAAGTACCTTAGAAAAATATATTTAACCCTCATGAAGACAACTTCTCAATTAGTTTCCTTTTCTTTTTTTTCTTTTCTTTTAGACAGAGGTTTATTTAGGAAAGAAAAGGCACATTAAAGGGATAATGCAGGCCATCTCCAGGGGGGAGACAGCTTGATTATTTTTTAAACTTTAAGTTATTCATACATAGAAAAGGTTGCTGGGTTGATATTTAAATGAAAGAAGTAGAAAACCTTTACTAATGTACCCTCAAGACTATAATTCTATCAGCATTTTAGTTTAAAACTTAGTTTTTAAAAGGGTGCAGCATAAAATGGAGACCCCTGGGCTCTGACTTTGAATCACATTCAACAACAAAAAAAGTCTTACATGTTTACACGGACATGCCTTCCACATACAATAAGGGATGGAGCAAATTCAGAGAAATCTTTCTGTACAATAAAATTTCCAGCCTACACTATGTATATTCATAAATGCATAAGTATATGTATATATGATAATTCCAAAAGAAGACTACTAATTTTCAAAACAGATGCTCAATTTGCACTATGTGCACATTATACTGGCTGTATGCACATCTATGAATTATTGTTAAAAATATCAAGAGGCTCTTATAAATGCTGAGTTCTTATTTTATTCATGCAATGCTAAAACATGGACTGAATAATTTATTAGTCAATACTATAACTTGCCTTGGTGGAAGAATTCTTCTGTTACTTTTTCACTCCATTGTTTGCTTAATTCCCAGGTCCGACAAGGGTTACAGATATCAGCACATTTCAAAGCCATCTAGCAAACAAAATGTTAAATTTGTGGTGAGAAAAAAAAAACATAAGATCTCAATTGTACTAAGTTTAAACATACCCTAACAATGGGAAAAAGAACACTTAAAAAAGAAAAAGAGGCCAGGTTCGGTGACATGTGCCTGGAATCCCAGTGATTTGGAAGGCTGAGGCAGGAGGATTACAAATTCAAGGCCAGCCTTAGAAACTTAGCGAGACCCTCTCTCAAAATAAAATATAAAAAGAGCTGGCAATGTAGCTCAGTAGTAAAATTGCCCTGGGTCCAATCCCAAGTAGCAAAAGAAAAGAAAAGAAAAGAAAAGAATAGAAGAGAAGAGAAAAAGAAAAAGAGCTAGAGTATAGCTCAATTATACAACACGTTAAAGTTTAACATGCATCAGATGCTGGGTTCAATCCCCAGAACAAACTAAAAAGAAAAAAGAAAAGAAAATATATATATATATTTTGTTGTTGTTRGTTTTGTTGTTATTTTTCAATGGCACATTATAATTATACATATTAGCGGAATTAATTATGCCATATTTGTACATGTCCACAACATAATTTGATCATGGTATTCTGATCTTGCAGACATTTTCTTCTCATCAGAATTCTTGAGTATAAAAATACCAGGCTCAGGGGCCATGGATATGGCTCCGTGGTAGAGCATTTGCCTAACATGCATGAAGCGCTAGGTTCGATCCCCAGTGCTACTTAAAAATATAAACAAATAAAATAAAGGTATTGTGTCCATCTACAACTAAAAAAAAAAAAAACAAAAACAAACAAAAAAAAAAAAAAACACCAGGCAGCAGATCTGCCAATGCTTTCCTAGAAAGTGTATCCTGACTAAGGAAACACCTTAGCTGTCTCTCCAGATTAACTACCCTGAAAAAACACTCTAGAATATTTTATTTTTATTGTAATAGTAACATAATTTACCCTAGAAATACAACCTTTCCAACCCTCATTTTACCTGTAAAACCAAATGCCTATGTCTGGCATCTTCTAGGCACAAGTCACCTCTATCCAAATGGGACCTAAACAATGACAGGTACTCGTTCTGACGACTGATATCTGTGGCCAGTATCAAAGCACCTATCTGAGTCTCCATTTGTTGCCTGTAATTAAATAAATATAAGAAGAAAGTATAAGACTTTTAGTTAAATAATTATTCTTGATTTTTCCCCTTAAGCAAAGCTTTACAGAGCCCTAAGATATTCAAACTGTCATCCAACTTAAAAATTTTATCTACAAAAAAAATGTATTTTAAAAAATTCATTTAAAGACTATTAAAACAATCAAAACTAAAACCAAGGGAGTTTGTAAGAAAATGCCAACATACAAACAGTCCAAAAAAGTGCCTTTGTTTTTGCTAACCAAGGTAGAATTATTTGCTTTAAAAAAAAATGAATATAGCATTGGTATGGTATTTGAGAAAATCCTTTTCTAGGGTTTCTTTGCTGGAAAATTCTTGTGCTGAGGATAAACAACTTTGGTTTCTCTTTGGTGCCTGAGATTTGAAAGGCAGAAGGAAGATTCAAATGGAGAGAATACTAGACCATTCAACAAATGACCACCTCAGGCATTTTGACAAATATGCCTAAGGAAATTCTGATGATACCACTAAAAAATTAATTAAATTTAAATTTGACTATATATTCAAAGTCAAATTCAAGAATTAATCAAATATTTGTATATGAATATTCAAATTTCTGGAAGAAAAAGGTGACATGCTAATAGAAATAGCAAATATAAAATATTAAAATTACCTCATGTCAAGTAACTAGAGTAATACACTGAAAAATCCCTTCCCTTTGTTCTAATGCAAGTATATCTTTGTTTAATGGTCAGCAAACAGCTGACAAACACATTAAAACACTCACAAAATTGATTAAAGTAAAATAAACCCTAAATGAACAAAATGTAAAAGGATACTATTAACAGTTTTCCTCATTTTCAGTTTATTTTTATTAAACCTAAAGAAATCAACAAAGTTAATCATCAAATGCAAAACAGGATAAAAAGTAAACAATGAGGCAAATATGTTAATCTGTCTTAATAAAAACATCCCCAAAGTTAGATAAATAAATACTGTACAGTTTAAGCAATTTTTATATTTGTGCTACAGCAAGAAACAGTTTACTTACCAGAAGTATTGTCATACTCCAAATGGTAACCATGAATAGATTTAAAAAAATAAAAAATAAAGTCCAGCTTTTTCCTTATAGTCATTACATAAAACAGTTTTTTAAGAAAACAGTTTTAAATTATAAAAGGAAAAAGGTAAATGAGTGTAAATTTTAATACTCAAGCATACACCCTGACACTTCACCACTTTTCTTGATGGATGGTACATGGTTTTCTGAAGTGCATCTTCTCTATGTGCAGCATCAGTAAAACCTTTTTATTTTCACTACTTTCATGTCTGTTTGTGAACTATACCATGGCAGTTCACCACCACCATGTTGAACTTATTTACATTGATACTTTTAATAGTCCTTTTAATGTCCTGCCTAACATTAAATTATTTTTCTAAAATATTATTTTCTTTTCATCATATATTTTAATAGCTCTAAAAGTGACTTTAGAACTATGCTCTTGAGGACACAGTTTCATTCTTTCCTTCTCAGCAATTTTGAAAACTTCCTGAGACAGACTGTAATGAATCTACTTGTTATATAGAAAAATTACTTTCTACACAATTTGCCTTTACACCTAGACCTTAAGATTTTATTCAGCTGAGCATACAGTGGAAATATGTAAGACCTATTTAAGTAGTAACCTATGACTGAGCCCTTTTRTATCTGGAGTAAATGTTCTAGTACTCAAATTCATAGAATGGTCTTTCATAAAAATAAATAGCCACTAAAATATTACAGACTGGATATATAGTACAGGATTAAACATTTGAAATTTTGATAAATATATTTTTAAATAAGATAATTTATCCATTTAGTTTAACAAAAACTGAAAACTATAGAACACCTGGACATAATAACATTAATTTCAAAACTTTGTAGATTTATTTGCCAACTTAATTTCCATAGTTAATAGCAAATTAAATTTGTCTTAATCCAACATACCTTCTTTCTAATGGCAAATGTGAGAATAAACCGGATTCTCTCAATAAGCCCACTGCAGATCTCCAGTGGTGATTTTCCAGTACTGAGGTATTCTACAAAAAGTATGTTTCTTAGTTACTTAATGGCAAGTCTCTTCCTAAACAAAGAATTATTTGTCAGTAATATTAATCTGGTCAAAATTCTAGCATTCATTGAGAATTTATTTTTGCTACTTTTATTTCTTCAAAATATGAAACATTTATTCTAAAATGCAAAAAATCAGACTTTGATGATAAAACTGCACTAACCTTGTATAAAGTTGCCAAGTAATGGTTAGTTTTAATAAGGAAAGGTTGATTAACACCTGGATGATCCAGATCATGAGTGGCAGCTGCAATTAAGCTCAGCAAGATGTCCCAAGGAGTTACAGAATTGGCAAGCTAAAATGTGACAAAAGAATAATTAATCATATATTTGAAGTAAACTCTACACCACTAGAGTAGTTTTGAATTAGCAGCCAGTGGTAGTGTTGACAGTCTTCCCCCACTTCATGTCATTTATTTCAGGCAGACTATTCATGAATGCCACCAACACCTGCCAGGTACTACCTTATCAGGACGCTGTGGCAGGTGTGATATAACAGTGTTCTATGGAGTTTACAGAGCTTATCTTTATACTGCTTCATTTTTAACACACTTACCTAAAATGATAGCTGAAGTATAAACCATTTATTTTTTAAATGGTTTTTGAAACCTGACAAACACAGGTGTGTGTATTTTCATTATTGGAGCTATTACAAAGTAGAAGACCTATAATTTCCAGAGTGTTTATCTATCAATAAATTGATCACTGAATTTCAATAATGTAATTTAAATGCAAGGTTATTCCTGTAGTCTTAACATTTAAGGAAGCTACTGAGGAATCATGCAGGCAGAAGTTTAGGTCAAGTGTGTAATAAAATTCTCTCCCAATGGATGTATACATTCAGAACAAGTCACACACAAAGTCAAGTCACACAAGAGGGAAATCTGTAAACTGGCACTTATAGTTTTATCTTCAATAATCATTACCAAACTTATTTGATACAATAAAACAATCTACAACAAAAAAGTCTAATATTAGCTGACTGAAATTCAACAATTAAATTAGTCACATTGAGTCTAGCATCTGCTCTCATGAACTCTCTCTTTTTCTGGCAAAATTCTACTTAACCTTATCCTATAAGGCCCAACTCCACGGATCCACCCTCCAGCTACTTCCTCAGCAAAGGACTGGTTTGTGCTCCTGTAGCACTTCACAGGGCTGACCATCCTTGTGGTTTTCATGTTAGGTTCTGACATGTTCCACAACTAAAATTTCAAAGATCAAAATTCATTTCTTATATACATTCTTTGTCATCAGCTATGTAGTCTGTACTCAGTGCAAGAATAATGTGCACATGATACATTCCACTTTGTGTTTGTGGAATTGCATGTATTTGTATGACACCAAAAAGATGATGTCTACTAGAGATAAGAGTCCTAAGTATAGAAAAGAAATCAGAGATGAGAGAGAGATTTAGGAATCATCACCTGCAGATGTAACTGAGAGCCATGTGAGCCCATGAATGACATCTACCCCAGAATCTGCCTAGTAGTGCCCCTAGCATTACTTTAAAACAGTTCTCTCCCCTTATTCTGGCTAGATGTGAGGAGGAAAACAACTAAACCAGTTTGTGCCAGTTGAACTGAGAACACAGCCAGTCATCTGATCTTTCATGTCCCATTTTTTTAACTATATGTATCATGACTTTTTTAATATCATCTTTATTATGGTATAACTTCCATGCAGTAATAAAATATATACATTTTATGCATACAGTTTTGACACATGTATACTCTCAACTATCCCAATTTTTAAATTAAAAATTTTAAAAGGCCAACCTGAAACCTTTCTTTGAGAACTTTGTGGGAGAAATTGATAAAGAACCTCCGTGCAAGTCTGGAAAATGAAATAATGGAGATAAATTCTCTGAAGCACAGAGGAGGGCTGACCTAAATAGAGAGGGCTCCTCCCACTACCCATCTTCCACTGGCCACACCTAACTACAGCCAGGAGCTAGGAAATCTAAGAGATGGCAGGTAAGCAGGCTGGGGAGGCTTGTGGATAAATGAAGACAAATGTGATTTTAAACACTTTTCATCATTAACAAACTCAATGAACTCTATAAAAGCCAAAGCTTTGATTAAGGACATAGAATCACTGAGCCCTCAATGCAGCAACTGCCTTCTCCCTTACTACAGTACACACTTAAAAACATACATACATCATTTCTCCCTTTAGTATTTACATTTTGTCTTCAAGACTGAACTTACATGGACTACAAAGAATTTTGTTCCAATTGAGCCTGATATCCTTGAATTACTGACAATGTTAATAATCATGGTTGTCACTGAGGAAGCTGTGATTTCTGCCTCTGTTTTCTATTTTATGTTTAGACTCACTCTTACATATGAGTTTAAATCAATTACTATATTAATTTAGCAATATCTGTGGAAGATTGGTTCTTGGCTGCCAGTGCAGCCAAGTCACGAACTTAGGAAAAAGTCTCTGAAAGTAAATTCAAAGCAAATTTCTTATAATTTACACCTAAAGTCAAGGTCCACCTCTTACCTTAGGTTCCTTTAAGTAACAGTGCATGGCCTGAGTAACATCTGCAGCATGGACTGCATTATGATAAGGATTTTGACTGTGGTAATCTTCTTGAATCATAACTGCATCAAAGAAAAAAAGATCCCAATTGTACTGTAAATGGGTGACATGTAAAAGTACAAAAATTGTGATAATTGTCAGTTATCCACTCATATTTTCCATGGAACTATCAGCTAAAATTGTCCAGATTTCAAGAGATGATAATCAACTCACAATTCACATTTACTGTCTTTCATCTGAATATGTCTGACTAGATACATTCTGAGAAGTATGACATTAGGCAATTTCATTGCTGTGGGAACATCATCAAATGTACTTGCACAACTTTAGTGGCTACAATTCACTTGGGTATATGATCTCCTGGGACCACTGTCATACATATAGTCTGTCACTGACAAAAAGCTGTCACGTGGTGCACAATGGCAAATGTGTTTTAACTAAAAAATTTTAAGTGGTTTGTTACAGAGCAATAGATAACTGATGAATCTGATAAAAAAAATTAAACAAGTTCTCATACAAATCTTATTATTGTTAAATGGGTTAGACTCACCTAAAAATCTACGAAGTTTCATCATATCTAAATGGAAGTACTCAATTAATCCATGAAGACTAAATAAATGAAAGGTTAAACTTACTAGACTATTTCCTAAAAAGAAAGAAGAGATATTACATTAGTAGAAAACATATAAAGTAACATAATTAACACTGCACTTTCCAATTTGGATTTTGAATACAAAACTCAGAAAGTAAGTATCCTCACTTCTACTTTTGGTCTACCTAATTCTTTTTAATTTTACCTGTTATGAACTTCAAATGTAACAATTTTGTTCTACTCTAAGGGGGGAAAAACTTTTATTGTTTCAGTTTTCTACAACCGAAAAACTAAAAAATAAACCTTTCAGATAGATTATTTTTTTAAAGTCACCAAAATAATTAGAAAACTTTGATAACTGCCACACACTGATTAAGCCAATTCAACTTCCCAAAGCACCTAAAACATGGTTGCTTTTAACCCCTTCTTCTAATATGCCCTCTATCACCTAGATTTAACTAAAACTGGCTTTCCCTGAGCAAAGGTCTTGGCTGCAACCTTGTTGGGTGAAGGCTATTTATTCTTAGGTACTCAGGGCAAGGCAGATCAGTGACCTCTTCAAAAGCTCCAGGATCAAAACTATACACTCAATCACTTGCCTTTTCCATATTTGCAGCAGAAAATCTAAGAGTTTTTTGCAGGGGGAAATTGGAAAATTATGTCCCTAAAGATTCATGGTCAACAATGCCCAGCAATCTTACTGTTTTTCCAGTGAACTGGGAAATGCTTATTTTCAAGACTTTTCTACTCTTCTCAAACTTTCAGCATACTCACTGCCCATCTACTACTCCTCATTCTTCACAGCCTCCTACTTCACAGAAAAACCACAAGCCCTCAAGTTTCCCTTTCAGTCAAAAGCAAATCCATCCACACCTCCTCAAGGAAGGTCCCTTTCTAGTTCCATCAGAGACACCTACTATCATGCAAATCAATCAGTGTCTTTCTCCTATATTGTTCCAATAGGCATCAGCATTCAAACCTTCTCTAAATTCCCATTTCTTTCAAACAACAAAGAATCTGGGCTTCTCTCAGCTCCTCTATCCCCTACACAGCCAAGTCTTCATCCTCAACTTCCACTCCTTTATCACTGAATGACAAGAGTCATATCAAGTACAGAAATCACATTTGGAAAACGTACTATCCTTATCGTGATTAGTTTTCCCTTCCATGCTATAGCTCTCCATTTTTTATCTTATATTAGATTTATCAAAGTTTTAGAGACTTCTTCTAAAGGACACATACAGATATTAAATAGACTATGTTTTAAAGGGGTATGATGTCAGAAATTACTGCCAACTGCTAACCTTCAGATAACAACATATACAGTATTCTAATATTCTTTGAAGAAGTTTATGATTCTTACTAAGATGTAAAAAAGATTAACTAGTTCCAAATTGAATTTTATAGTATTAATATTTAAGAAGGATAATAAAGGACTAGTTAACTGAATTTGTAATCCAAAACAGACTAAATACAATTGTCAATAGAAATCATAGCTGAGAAAAAAAAAAGTAAATTAACTGGAGCAATATTTGCCATGAGCAACATTAGAAAGGATGTGGTGAGCCAGAGATTCCTTTTCACGAGTACCTGGCATATCACCTTCACATGGAAAGAGGAAAAAAAAAAATTAAACCTTTTAGAATGGATTCAAGTCCTAATAACACCCTACTGGAACAAACACAAATCCACATGATTTGGAACCATTTGTGAAAAAGTGAGTTTTATTCCCACAGTTACTGCTGGAATAACCAAGTTTTCTTCAGTTGTGTACATAGATATTTTAGAATGGTATATTCATTCTGTGTATTCAGGTTATCATACAGTTCTCCAAAATCACTGTCCAAATCTTACAAAACAAATCACCAATTTCTAGGGTCTAGAATAAGTTTTACAAAAGCTAGGACCTAAGGGAGAAATATCTTCTTCTGGAATTCAGGCAAACAATGGTAAGAGACACACACAATATCCTCCACTAAGAACTTTCCGGGAATCTGTCAAGAACTAATCAATTCAAGTATACTTCCCATATCAAACTGAAAAACTGCATGCATACTTCTTCCCTTTTTCAGTTCAAAAAACACTGAGTATTTTAATACAGTGAATGAGAATACAAGTCAATAAAACATTTCAAAACAAGACATGCTTAGTTGTATTAAACAAACAAACAAAAAAAAACAACACAGGAGAACTTTTTTTTTTTTAAATAGAAAGGAAAATAAACACTTTCTTGAAAAAGAAAACTGTAATTATAGAAAAGCTATCTCATAAAAATATACCAAAAGATGGAACTGCCTAAGGTTTAGTGGCCCTCARTGGTTTTTAGAAAGTGATCCTCCAGAGACAGTGCCACAACACAGGCTGGCACATAGTGTCCTTAGGAACCAGGAAACTCTTTGGGGCAGCAAGCTATATCTTGCTCCCACAGCATCACTTCACTCTCATCCCTGTAAAAGGAGCATCAAGTATATCTAGCAGACAGTAACTATTTTCCTCCTTGGAGCAGACAGCTGGGGACCATTTGTCTTGGCATGAATCACGGAGTTTTGCCTCCTACTTCTCCCTGTCCTCTTCCTAGTATCATCTGGGGAATTACCAGAGTAAGAAATACAAGAAAACACTGGATCAATAAGCAAGAAGGGGAAAGTATACACTTGGATACCAAGAACACATATCCGGAATTAGTTTCAGGGTAAATAGTGTTTAAAGGAAATCCATTATGATTGCATAATGCGAGTTGATGAAATTCCTTCTGACCATTTGTTCAATAACATCTCTTTAAGTAGAGAATTTCTATAACTTTTAGGTAGCTGTAATTGACCGTGTGCGTCACCTCCTATAAAACAAAGGTGGCTAACCATGGGCAGATTATACTAACCCCTCATGATCTGAAATCAGCACTAACAAGCAGCCATTCAACCACCTTCTCCACAATTACAGATGAAGAAGTTAGGTAATCAAAGCGAAGGTAAAGTGCTAAGTTAACTAATATAGATTGGAGGCTATCACTTCCGACCACCCTACACAATACTAAGCTTATTTCTACTTGCATCCCTGAGTCCCTGTTGAGGACTTCTAAAAATAAAATTTAGAGGTGAACAATCAACGATTTCAATGAATGACAGGCATCTCAGCAGCCTAATAATAGACTATGAGCTGACAGGTTATATAAGGCTAAACCTTAAAGGTGTTTCATTTGTATTTATTTAATATAATAACTTGACATAATAACTAAAGTAATATTTGTATTGAGTTATGAAAGGAAAATATTCGAGATCTAGAAGGAGGTAGTCACCTGATATCTCACTACCTGTGTTTTCAAGAAAGCCCAGGGGAAGACCAACTGTTAGTGACATTTGAGCCTTTCTAGCACTGACTGCCAAGGTGGGGGCAGGGAGAGCAATAGGACACCTAATCACCAAAGGGCAAAGGAGAGGTGGAAGAAAAACAGACAGGGAAGAAAAATAAAAAGGGAAGTGGAAGGTGACTTTGCTGATAAAGGCAAACCTCACTGACTTGACCATTTTGCCAAGCATAAGTCCACTCTATTTCCTGCCTACAATGTGTAAACAAAGCAGAAGGTGTGCAGAGAGGTACTTTCTGTATCCATGGCATACAGCCTAGAGGAAATAATGGGGTGATGCTATAAGGCCCACATTGATGCTCAAGATAAAGCTGTGTTTATTTGTCCACTTTATATATTGGTTTCTTATGAAAGAGCTTCACCCCAAAGTGAAATAAGCAAAAGCAGGTGATTTCAAAGGACAGCAGCAAGCCACATATTTATTTTGTCATTACAAATAGTCAGAACTGACTTCCTCTCCATGTACTTTCTACTTTGCTTCATTTTATTAAAAAGCTATTTAGAAAAAAAARGGGGGGAAAGCTAGAGGAATTGCATATACCACGATGAATTACACAAAAATATTTATCCTAAATAAAAGATATTCCCAAAGGGAATCCAGTTTGGGTTCCCAAAGAAAATAGTGAACCATGGCATCTCCAACCCAAACAAAACTAAACCAAACTCTGGAGTGGGTGGGGCAGATCAGATCACCTGTGAGCATCTTATTCAAACCACTTTTACTCCATAGAGATTCCAATACATTCTCCTAAGCTACAAACTCTTCCTATCCCACCGTGAGAGGCAGTGCCAGAGGGAACCATTGCTGCTGACTGTAACATGACATGTCTGTCTCTCAAGAACACAGAGAAAGCAAGCCTGGGAACCACGGCACTTCAGGAAAGGATGCATCTCAAGTGGCAGCCAAGCCACCAATCACCTGGGATACACTGGGATACAGCACCAGAAGAGGTCACTATAAATAGCCACAATCTAAAAGAAACCAAAAAGGGAAAATTGAGGCCATAATGAGATAATAAATTACTCTGGATTATTAAAAATAGCTGCAATAACTGCCAACTGGCTGCATCATCATGATGATGAGTTTTGATTACTGCTTAGGGTAATAATAAAAGCACAAAATTGTGAGATTGTCAACATTTAGAAAAGTCACTATAAAAAAGACACAAAATGATGCTCCCTCTGCCAGCAGAGGGCTCATAACCTGAGTCAATGAAAGCAACAGCCCACCAGGGGCTGCACCATTAATGCAGTAATCTAGAGGCTACATTAACTTGAGTAAGTCAAATTCTTCACTTACCATTTGTTAGTCTATCAAATAGAAAGATATCAAAATTCCAATTTCCAACTTTTTCCAGCATACACTGAAATGAAAACCAAACATTCCTACTGTAATTTAATTTTAATAACATTCTCTGTCTTTTGTAGATAGTCCATAGAGAAGTTAATGAAAATGGAAAGTGACTGATTTACTTCAAGAAATACCAAGTATCATTCTTCTTTTGGCTCCAAAAAATGCCCAAAGATATAAACTCAATTTGAAAAATAAAATCATTATTTTGTTTTTCAATTAATGAATGTACAGGTAGACAGGTCCTAGTCTTTCAACTTATTCCTATAGTCCCACAAAATTTCACGAATTCTAAGATAATTTAAACATCACAGAAGTGTGACTTATACGTTGCATGGACTAAAAACTAGATTTTTAAAAATCTAGTAAAACTGAATTAAAATGGCTACCTTAACACTGACACCCACTACCAAGCAAGTCTATAGATGGGAAAACAGGTAAAACTTAGCATTAATATGCTCAGCTAGAAAGTGAAAGAGATGGGATCTTAGTCTGGTTCTGGAACTCAGGCACCTGACATTAATACTATACCATACATAAATTATCTATTATTCATGTTTTTAAAAACATTTCCAACTTAAGGGATATTTATTATCTTTAAAAAGCATTTTAGAGCTATTAATAGAACTTACTACATGAACTTTTATGATGATGTGTACTTTAGCCAACCAAGTAAATCTCATAAAGATCCTTAAAAAAACAAATATTTTTATACCATAAATTCTTGGGCACTCTTTTTTATTGGTATTGCCTAGTATAAAACTCAAGGCTTTGCATATCTTTTGTTCTCAGCCCACATCACATATTCTTTTTTTTTTTTAAGAGACAGAAATGGTACCTTGATTTGATCATTACACAACATATACAGGTATGTTATACTGTACCTCATAAACATGTACAAATGTGTGTCAATTAAAAACAAGTATTCAATTTAAAAAATTCTATCTGACAACGTTTTGGGTCTCTGCCAGTAAAGTGGCAATAGTAAAAAAAAATATGGAACATTCACAAACTTGTGTGTCATCCTTGCCCAGGGTCTGTGCTAATTTTCTCTGCATCATTCCAGTTTTAGGTATATGTGCTGCCGCAAGGAGCACTACACCACATACTCTCAACCTGAACATCTTGTGGACTTTTTCAAGAACAAGATTTTATTCTATTTCCAGAAATTAAATGTTATATACATTGTGTATAAACTGACAGAAGCAATACTAAGATGGTACTAATAGAGTTTGTTAAAATTATGATGGTACTGATATAAGCAATAACACACAGATCACATTCTCATTTTATAAAGCCAAGCTTGTAAACTTTTCAAAATTTAAAAAAAGTATAAGCAGTTTCCACTGATTTCTTTCATCAAAAAGCAAATGTTTTTCACATTAATGTGATTGTTATGAAGGTACCCCCAAAATTTACAAAATCTTAAAAAAAATAGTTTATAAAATTTGGCCTATAAAACTAAGTCAAACAATAATTTAAAATACACTAAAATTCAAGATTATTTAAAATCCTCATGTGGTCAAGAATAAGTTCATTTAACTTCAATCTGAATTATGACATTAGCTCTAAATACATAAATATGAAGCAAATAAAGCTCACATTCATTGGGTTTAGCTAAGAAATGTCTAACTCCTCAAAAATCTCTCTCTCTTTGGTACTGGGAATTGAACCCAGCAGTGCTTAATTATCGAGTTACATCTCCAGCCCCTTCTATTTTTTTTTTTTTTTTATTCTGAGACAAGGGTCTCTCTAAATTGCTGAGGTTGGCATCAAACATATGATCTTCCTGCCTTAACCTCCTGTGCCACTGAGATTACAGGTGTGTGCCACAACACCCAGCCAAAAATCTGTTGGCTGAAAGATACTATGCAAAACACATTTGAAAATAATGAAACCTAATTTCTTGTGCTAGGTTACCCCTACCCAGCTGGGTGAATTCAGACAACTCCTTTATGCTCTCTATGATTTTCCTTATCAATAATCTCAAATATTCAGGTAATCTCTAATTGAATTATTATACTGTACCTCATAAACATGTACAAATGTGTCAATTAAAAACAAGTATTCAATTTAAAAAATTCTATCTGACAACGTTTTTGGTCTCTGCCAGTAAAGTGGCAATAATAAAAAACAATGAACATTCACAAACTTGAATGTTCTTCCCCGCATTAAGATTTGGTATAATCTTATAGTTTAATGATCTATTGACCTACTTATTACTTAATGTTGTGATAAATGGAAATATTTTCACTCTTTTAGTTATTTCAGAAATTTCCCTTGCTCTGTCATCCCTAATTTCAGAACAGAAAGTTGATCTGAAGAAAAAAAAAATCTGAAAAATTGGCTCAATTGCTTTTTGCAGACAGAAATAGGGATCTACAAATCCGTACTGTATGGGGAAAAAAAAGGCCTCAGTAGACATGTCAAGCAATTATTGAGAAAGCTGTACACACCTTGGCTTGTCCATTATAATCATCATCTAAAATGTTTAGAGAACTGGAAGCAGTAGTACCACGGAAAAAGCGTGAGGATCTGAGATACCGCTGGAAACTTAGTAACCGCCTAATATTCCTTGCAGAGACAGACACTTCAAATTCAGATTGAGCTGAAATAAAAGGAGTAAAAGGTAAGAAGAGCAACTCATATTTGTACATATGCTACATTTACAATACTCCTAGTTACACACAAGTATTTTTAAAAATTTATTAATCATTATGCCACATTTCTAGGAGAGAAGAGGTATTTTATTTCTATTTTTAATTGAAAAACTAAGAATGAAAAAGTAAATGGTCAATTCTGGCAGGACTTAGAAAAGAGGATGACAAATCACTTTTTTTTCTAATTCACTGGCTCCCCATCATCGTCATCTTATTATGAACTCCATCTCCTTACCCTAGAAAAGAAGGCTGCACATGTTCCAGGTTTTGGCTCTCTCCGGACTCAACTCGGGTGTCACCTTCTCTGGGAAGCACACCTGAATGCACTCTCCTGGATCTCAAAGAGGTAGGAGGCCCCTCCTCTGGGTCCAAAAGCAACCCCCGCATTCATGCATTACAGTACTTCTGACAATACATTATAATTGCTTATGTGTCTGTCTCATCAACAAAGGATGAGTTTCAGTACAGGCAAAACATACCTTTTTTCATCTCTGTTTTCCCAAGTCTAACAAGAACGTCACATATATAGTAGGTAATTATAAAACACATTGTATAAAGGTATATTGTTTTTGAAATATCTGAGAGGTTCTCACACACCCAAATAAACCAGAAGTAAAATAATGCACACTCTTATTTGATCTACTTCTCCCATTTTTCATTCTACTGAGTCTAAAATACAAAGTATGTGAAACAACTGTGGAGTTAACTTTCTGATCTTTATCAGTATAATGTACATAAAACATAATAGACTCAAAATGGTAAAATATTAAATGATTATGTTTAAATTAAAATTAGTTTGAGGAAATGAGGGTAGATTAAATTCTGTTAACACAATGTTCCAAGTGCTTTGTAAAAAATATCTTACTCAAAAAAAAAGGGGGAGGATTAAATATTATCCCTATCCCCCCTGTATACCTGAGAACACTTATTAAGTCTCTGMTAAAACACATTTACCTATCTTCTATATTTCAATTCTTTTTAACTATTACTAATTCCTTTCACTATTTATTTTGCTTGCTCTTCTCATTTCTTTCTCCATACCCACTCTTTCTAGTATAGACTATTTTGTTCTCCTTCCCCATGTCTTCATTTCTGTAATGTATTTGAAATTTTGTCCTTACCATTTCCTGATTCTGAATACATGTTTCAACTCCTTCCTTGAGTTCATTGATTAGTGCTCTATTGGTAATTTTTTTGTTTCATTTAGTATTTTAAGTGAGTGGTAGAGAGTTTAGTCCCAATTTTCATCTGTTCTATAGCAATGTTTTCCTATCAAGTGTTCTGCAACCACTGAGTTCTGCTGCTCTCTTCCACTGTTTTATTTCATTAAATTACCTGATATGCCAGTGTTTGTTTGTTTKTTTAAGAGTCATTACTGAAAGGGATGAGTTTTCCTGGACCTACTCTTTGCCCAAGTTCTCTGAGGGCATGAAGGGCAGGTGCTGGGAGAGGACAGAGGAGCCCTCTGAGCTTCACTACCAAATGGTGCTCTCCTTCCCTGCCAAARAAACAGAATGTTTCCTGCAAGTACACCAGTGCCATTTCTCTAAACCAAATCTGGCCCAAGGGAACTACACTTACCCCTACTCATTCCACATTCTGGATTAGACTTAGCAAATAAAATATTTAGCTTTGTATTTTAGGGTGAGCTCTGTGCCCCACCCCACATATGCTTTATAAAAACATTATTCAGACTTCTTTATAGTTTAATATATGGTCTAGTCTTGAGAATGGCCCATGTGCACCTGAGAAGAATGTGTGCTCTGCTATAACTCCAAATGGATTATAGTGTTGCTAAAGTCTGCTATTTCTTTACTAATCTTTGATCTGGTTCTATCCGTTCTAGAAAATGTGGCAGTAAAGTTTCCATTATTGTAGAATTGTCTCTTTCTTTAATTCTTGTATTTTGGAGGTCTGTGGTTATATGTGTATGTAACTGTCATATTTTCTTGTTGGATTGAAAATTTTAGCAATATAAAATGTCCTTTGTCTCCCACAGCCTTTTTTCTTAAAGATCGTTTTGTCTGACAATAATAGAACCACTCCCAATCTCCTCATTATGATTTATATGGTATATCCTTTCACATTCTTATTATTTCAACCTCTTTGTGTCCTTTCTCTTAAAATGAGTCTTTCCTACTCAACAGCTAGAATTTGTCTTATTCCTTTTGTATGTCGAATACCTGAGTCTGGGTAATAAAAAAAAAAAAAAAAAAAAAAAAAAAAAAAGAGGTTCATCTCCTGTAGTTCTGTAGGCTGGGAAGTCCAAGACTGAGGGGCCGGATCTGTAAGAACCTCCTTGCTGCATTGTCCCACAGCAGAAGGAAGAGGGAAAAGAGCATGTGCAAGCAAGAGAACAAGACAGACCTTGTCCTCTTACAGGACCTCACTCCCAGGATAACTAATCCAATCTCATGGTAACAACATTATCCAAAAAGGCAGAGCCCTCAGGGCCTAGTCACCTCTTAAAGGTCCTATCTCTCAACACTGTGGCACTGAAGATTAAGTTTCCAACGCAAGAACTTTAGGGGACATATTCAAATCGTATCAAGCTGTGTTTTTTAAAGCCAACCTGTTGATCTCTGCCTTTAAAGAGAAAAAAATACTTAATTTACATTTCAGTACTATTACTAAGAAAGAAGGATTTACTTTTGCCATTTGCCATGTTTTCTGTTTCTTCTGTTTTTCGTTCCTTAATTTCTCCATTATCTACTGCCTTTAAAAAATTTTGTTGATGTTTTTCTAGTGTTCCAGTTTGATTCCTTCTTCTTTCCTCTTCTGTATAATTTTTAATCATTTTCCCAGTGATCACCTTGGGGATTACAATTAACCTTTGAACTTTACAATAAGCTAGTTTGCCTACCAACTTAGTTTCAATGGTAAAACACTCTGCTCCTTTATATTTCCATTCTCTCCCTTTATATTGTTATTGCCATAGATTACATATTTAAACACTGTATGCCTATTAAGATAGACAAAATAACGGTTATATGTATTTGCCTTTTAAATCACATAGGGGAAAAAGGAGTTACAAATCCAAAGTACAGTAATGCTGGCTTTTGTATTTACCTACGTATTTGCCTTTACCAATGCTCTTTATTTGTTCTTATGGCTTTGGATAACTGCTAGCATTCTTTCATTTCCGCCTAAAGGACTCCCCCCTTTAGCATTGCCAGTAGGATAAGTCTATTGGTAACGAAATCCCTTGTCTTCTATCTTTCTGACTATGTGTTAATCGGAGTCTCCTTTATTCTTGAAAGATAGTTTTCACTAGATATAGAATTATTGGTTAATAGTTTTTTTTTTTAATTCCCTATCATCCCACTGCCTTTGGGCCTCTAAGTTTTTGGATGAGAAATTAGCTGTTAATTTTATTCAAGATTCCTTTAGTGAGGCAAGTTGCTTCTCTCTTGCTGCTTTCAGAATTCTCTTACAATGACAATGTGTCTCAGTTGGATCTCTTTGAGTTTATCCTCATTGGAGTTCTTTGAGCCTCTTAAATGTATATATTCATGTCTTAACCAGAATTAGGAAGTTTTTGTTTTCAAATATTTTTTCAGCCCCTCTCCTCCTGGGATTGCTTATCATTGAATTCCTGATAAGAAGATGAGTTCTGCCCCTTTCCCTTGCTTGTGCTTGTTCCTCTTACTTCTGCTGTATTAAATGTAGCAAGAAGGTCCTCACTATATATAGCTCCTTGATCTTGAATTTCCCAGCCTCAAAAACTACAGGAGATGGATGAACTTCTGATATTTATAAATTACCCAGTCTTAGGTATTCTGTTATAACAGCAAAAAAAAAAAAAAAGGACTAACACACAGTCCATCTTCTCTGTAGAAAAGATGTACTTTAGATATAAGACTCACTTTGATGGTACCCCATCCATCTCTCAGGTTTTGTTCTTTTTCCTTCTTTCTACTCCTCAGAATGAATAATTTCAATCGTCTCATTTAAATTCATTCTTTCTTCTCTCTTCTCAAATTTGCTGTTGAACCCCTCCTCTAGTGAATTCTTCATTTTCAGTTATTGTACTTTTCAGCTCCAGAATTTGTTTGGTTCCTTATTTTATCTATATATCTATTTATTTATTTATTTTTGCTTGACACTTACCAAAGACCAGTATTTATTCAGATTGTCTTTTACAGTCAAATTTTAATGCTTATAATCTTTTCTTTTTCTGTACCAGGGATTGAACTCTGGGCACTCAACCACTGAGCCACATCCCCAGCCCTATTTTGTATTTTATTTAGAGACAGGATTTCACTGAGTTGCTTAGTGCCTCACTTTTGCTGAGGCTGGCTTTGAACTCAGGAGCCTCCTGCCTCAACCTCCTGAGCAGCCACTGGATTACAGGTGTATGCTACTGCACCCGGCTCAATTCCTTTTTATAATTATTGAGATGCTCATTTTGTTTGCACCTTGTTTTCCTAATTTTAGTTCTTTGTCCATGATTTCATTTAGCTTCATTAAAGATAAATTTAAATATTTAACTAATAATTCTAATGCATAGGCTTTCTCTGGGATGGTTTCTATCAAGTTCTTTTTTATTTTGTTTTTCCTGTTTGTATGTTTTGTAGTTTCACTGACGGTGCCTTACTGACACCTAGTCATTCTAAGTCTTTATACTGAGGCARCTCCGAAATCAGTTCTTTCACTTCTCTAAGATTGTTTATTTTTTGCTTCTTGCAAACTAAAGTCATACATTTTATGACTTCAAATTGCTTTTGCCTTTGCTTTTCCATTTGCTTTTGTCTACTGCTTATGCTTGGTAACTAAAGTTTCCATTCAATTATTTCTACACAAATTTTCTTAAATGTCAGGCTCCAAAAAGAAGGTAGGTAAGTAGGGAGGTAGGGATATAGATGTTACTAAGGAAGCTGCTGCACCAAATGGAGCTTAAAACAAGGAAAACATCTGTACCTGTCCCCTAGGGATTCACCAGGCTGAC